AATAAATTGTATTTTTCAATGTGTCAGTCAATGCTCCAAACATTTTTCTCAACATGTATATCAGCTGAACTGAGCCAAGTTTCTGTGTAAGGTTTTACTTTGTGGAATTTTTTGGGGGTGTGTGTGGGTTTTTCTTTTTTTCTTTCCTTTTTTGACTCTTTGTTTGCTCCATCTAAGTTTCAAATGCAGCAAAGTCGCAATCACTCAAATATCTCGGCACCAAACATCTTGTTGCACAGAAAGGCCCCACCACTGACAAGAAAACCACTGAAAAGAAAAAAGACAGTAAAGTCTTGAAAATGCAAACTGATTGGAGGATAGCAGCAAAATTGTATTGTGGTAATGCACCAAAAGCAAGCGAAGCTCATCACAGAAAGGAAGAATATGTTTTTCCTTTTGAACTGCAAGCATTAAGACTCTTGGGGGAATCTCATATATCACTCACTTCCTTCAAAAAAGATCTGAATGAAAACTGTAGGGTCAAGGATATTTCATGTGTCTGTCTCAACAACAGAACTAGAAAGGATGAGAGTCCAAGGAGACTGGCCCTTGTCCCCTTATTCCCTGCTACTACTTCCATATCTCAACAAACTTCCAGCTTTAACACACCTTCCCTATCTGACTCTATTTTCTCAGAACAGCCTTTAAATTTAATATACTGCATACAATATTTGTCCAAAACATGCATCTGAAGACTGCTGCAAATGCTGTCTGAACATCTCCAGGATCTCCTAAATCAACAAGGAACAACATGGCTTGTCCTTATCTGGGACATGCCCGTATAAATCACAGCAGCTTTCTGGCTGTCTTGCCAAATCTGAGATTTATGTCATAAATATAACTCAGATCCACTGTTTACATTTTATTCTGGAAAAGCTGTGGTGTTATCAGCCAACATCTAAATCAGATTAAGAGAAACAAAGCTTTATACATCTTGGAATAAGTTTGGATGGTCTGCTTAGAAGCCTAAAAAAATAATTTAACACCCTCCCACCCCACCCCAAAATCCCCTCAGCTCTTCCCCCAAACACAAAACCAAAAAATAAAGGTGTTGTTTCCCCAAAATATTATTTGACTTAGAGCCTTCATATCAAGACAGGTGCCCTATCTACTCAAATAAATATCAAGAAGTCCATGACTGCAGCTTGCCATAAATATTCTAATGAAATACACAGATATAAAAAATTAAAATGGTTAAACAATTACAAATTTTCAGTCAAACTTGCTTATTACTTAAATCCCCTACATTTTATCCTTGGCCAAAGTAAACCAAACTGACTTTACACTATAAAGTTTTATAGAACTGGAAATATTTGTAGCCCCCAAAAATGTAGAGATCCACAATTCGTCCAACTCAATTTTTTTTTCTTGAAATGTTTTACGTAAAATAAAAGCACTGTGAAAAGAAATGTATTTATTGGTGGTTGAAACTAATCCCAAACTCCAGCATAAAACATCTGCTAGCTACCTTTTAGTGTATGAAATTGGTCCTTCTGTGAACTACCAGTAAGAACTCTCTTTACAATTCTTATACAGACTTCATATATCCAGTATTTTTCATTTTTAAGATGCGTACACACATGCACAAAACCTCAGTCATTTACACTGCCTCTTCTTTGGCAAGCCTGAGGAAATTTAAACCCGCTCAAACCTGAAATGGCCATGCTTAGGAAAGCAAGAGCAATATAAGAGAGCAGTTTTCCATGCTCTGCTCAAGCTTCACTTATTCTGTCACACATACAGACATACTTATCAAAGGAAGTCACAGCTACAAATAGCAAAGTGGTAAGAAAACCAGTTCTTTACAAAAGGTTTACAGAAAACAGATTTGTCAGGGTGGGGAAGACATGAATAAACCACAGATGCAAGCCTGGTTGACTGATATTACATAAATATGTGCACTGAAGCTTAATACAGTGACATCTTCAGACCAAACTGGACACCTATTCCACATAGGAAGGGAATTACATTCCTCATAAAATTCACTTGTAAAAATATGTTGCCAATCTAAGCAAGAGAGCTGCAATTCTCCCCTGGTGTACCTTCAATCCCATACAAAGTGCTGGTGACAGTGGTGTGGCACTGGTACTGGTGTGGGAAACAGTATCTCACTTCTAAACAATCAGAATAGATGCAGGACACTTCATGCCTTTTAGGGAGAGCATCAGAGCATCTCTTCCATGTACTTTTTGGAATTCACAGAGAGAACCTAAGGACCATCTTGGCCTCCACTATGAGAATGTTTTGAGAACTCATTCTATTTTCTTGTACTTTTGCTACACAGCTACATAAGCCACATGGGCACATGCCAGTCTGCTGAGTAGTTGATAAGTTAACAGAAAAACCCCACAAACTTGATCATTCACACATAGAAGATGCCATTCTCCAAGGGTCTAAAGTTCAATCACAATTAAAACACAAACCCAGGTGATTCAGGCCATACCACTACTCAAACTAATGACAGATAAGAGGTGGGCTTTTTAAATATTTTTTTTTCCTTTCAATAACTGGAGGAGTCACACCATGAGCATGCTTGGTTCCCTTATAAGATTGGAAGCTTTTTGATTTGGTAATAACCAGCTTCAGGGAATGTCAACACAAACAGCACCAGGAGACTGAACATCTGAACCTACAGATCTGGAAGAGCAACCACTGCAAATCCACTTAGAAAAAGGCCTCTCGATGGCTTCCTGTTGAAGCCTGTAGGTGGTTCACCAAGCCGAGTCCAAAGACAGCTGCAATTACACCTGCAAACCTAGACTCTGCAGAGAAGAAAAAGGAGGCAGCAATCATCTAACATGTTGTTCAAGTCTACAGCAAACATTTCCTTCTCTAATAGCTGGGTGGGTTACTTTTTTGTTTTAACAGCCTGGCACTCCTTCTATCACTTTCTAAAGTGCAATGATCAAACTCTATTACTTAAAGTAAATGTGACAAGGAGGTAACTATTAAATGGAATTTAAGAAATTCCATTTAATAGTTTAAGAAATCATATTAGCATTTATTAAATAACTTGGAACTTGACAACAACAGACACATGAGCAAATGATCCATCAGGTGGTTTTGAGTTTTGTTGTTTAGCAGCAAGTTGTTGGAAAGACAAACATGACTCTAAGCATAGCTGGTTGAAAACAGATGTAAGGACAAAAAAAACCAAAACAAAACAAAAAACAAAACAAAACAAAACAAAAAAAAAAAAAAAAAAAAACAAAAACAAAACCAAAAAAACCCCAACAAACAAAAAAACCCCAATTCTTATTTTTCACCCAGTGGAGACACTGATGTGCCAGGTGCCATTACAGGGTTTTCCTGCACACTCTGAGCAGAGAATTTTAGAGGTAATGAAAATTGAGAGTATTTCCCCTCTCTTGTATTGCGTCTCAGAGAGGTGACTTGTTTGAGGTGGAGTTTTCAGATGTAGTTTTAAAAGAGATATTTTAACCATGCAGCTTAGAAGTGCCCCATCAGCACACGGGTCATTAGACAGTGGTGCTAAGGATGCTTATCCAGAATTCTGCTGAAAAAGCCAAAGGGAAAGAACAGTTCCAGAGCACCAACTGCAGTGGAAAACTAGGAAAAAATCCTAAATGCAACTTGCAGGAATACACTACCTTTAAGTATATTATATGCGAGTGGATAAAAAAAAAGTAAGACATTCTGGCCATTTAGGTCCTTTCACATTTTGCTAGCATTACCTGTTAGCATTATCAAAACTATTCAGATCTTTAACTGACAAACTGACATCTGAATGCCCAGTTTTATGACCCAAAAATTTGCCATTTTTTAAGTCATTGATAGAAGAGAACACAGAAGACTGGTTTTGTGCATTTTCACAAGGAAAGAAATTATCATGCGAGCTTGGAGCTTTTTTACTTATCAGGATAAGCAATGACCTTATGCTACACAGACAGAACAACATTTCTCTCAGAAAACTTTTAAGCAAATATAAAACCATCCTTGCAAGACTTGCTTTGCACCACACAGGAACATGACTGCCACCCAACTTAATCCAGCACTCTCTTTACCCCTGGCAATGACAAAAGGCAGGAGCTATTTCAAGAACTGCAGGGTATTTGTTCTACACCTACAGCCTTGTTTGACACCCACCCAAACAATGAGGCTCTTGTACAACCTGACTCTTTCGACCTGGCCTGGGAGCTGCAACCTAAGCCAGCTGGACTGCATATGCTCATGAAGACATCATGTTTTGTGCTGGTTTTTTTGGGGTTTTTGTTGTTGGTAGTGGTGTGTTTGTTTTCCCTTAAAGAGGAACACAGAGATCCACTCTTTCTGCTATGACACTGCTGGATTTTGCTGCATCAGAACAAGTTATAATTTTTATCTGTTCCAAGAACCTCGGCCGCCGCGTAGTCCAGCAAGGAAACCCAGCAATTCCTTCTCCCCTTCCTGGCGTCAGCCAAGGTTTAAAAGGTTCAAACCCCAGACAGGTTTCAGATTCTCCATGGGATCAGGCATTTCAGCAGGTAAGGGTGTCCCTGAGATGGATCCATTGTGAGCTTGCTGGGGTGCCTGGTGGCTCACAGTGTGTCACAGGATGGGCTGGGGCACTGCTGGATCACAGCACACACCGGTGTCACCACACAAGAGCGAGCAGTGACACATCTCCGATTTTAGTTATTTTGGTTAGGAATTATTATTATTTATTCATATAATTTAAAATAGGAGCAGAATTTTCAGCATTACTGTAGTTTTCAGACTTGATTTTTGCAATTTACAACTGTTATTATTAGACCATTACTAGAATTTTGATTACTACCATGAGACGCTTCTTTTCGTGATGGAATGCACTATTTTTATTGCTTTATTTCAGTATTGCGTTTAAGTACTGTGGTTTGGCACTAGATTTTAAAATTATATTTTAGTACTATAGTTTGTTGATACTATTTACGAATACAGTTTTTATCAGCAGCGGGTTTAGGCAATTTTCCTCCCCCCGCACCTCGCCCCGGCAGGTCCCGCACGCCCCGGCAGCCCCTTACCCTCGCACTGGTAGCCGGCCAGCCCCCAGATGAAGTCGGTGCAGTAGTGGCAGAAGGTGGGCTTGGTCAGGGTCACCCTGCGGAACGCGTGGCCCGGCGGGCTACTGCCCCCCGCCGCGGCGCGGCCCCGCCCGCCCAGCACGGGGCTGGAGGCCGGGCTGCCGCCGCCCCCTGGGCAGCGCGGCCCGGCGTCCGGAGCCGCCCTGGGCAGCGCGGCCCGGCCTCCGACCGAGCGAGCGACCGCGCGTTCTGCGGAGAGCTCCGCCTGGCGTCCTGCTGAACGTGCCCTGGCGCAGCCAGAGACACGGTTCTCTCTGCTGTCTCTTGCTGCCTCGGAGAAGAGGCCGACCCCCACCCGGCCACAGGCTCCTCTCCGGGAGTTGTAGAGATTGATAATGTCACCCCTGAGCCTCCTTTTCTCCGGCTGAGCAGCCACAGCTCCCTCGGCCGCTCCTTGGAAGACCCGTGTTCCAGCCCCTTTGCCATCTTCGTTGCCTTTCTCTGGACTCAGAGATAAGGCCTCAATTTCTTTGCCACGACATTAATCTGGACGGTTTTGCTATCCTTTCATCATACCATTTTAGAGCACGCAAAGCTCCACCTCAAGAAGATTTGTGACGATGCATTGACAGTAGAAAATTATTTGCTATAGGTTTTGCCTTCTACACTCAACACCGCTGACTTCGTGAGAAAAGATAAGGGGTTCTGCCAAGTCTCCCTCCTCCATAACAGGACATTTTTGTCCTTTGTTCACTTAACCTTCTTGTTGCTAGTGTGGAAAATGTTTACACACCTGGATGTTTCTGTGATGCTAGTCTCTGGAATGCCTCTGTTTCTTTGACTTATTACATTGGGTAACTTCTTATGGATGGAGTCGGTTGGAACAAAAAAGGAGGCTATCACTTTGGATTTTGTGTATATAGATGTATGCTGTCTGCAACTCAACTTGCCTTGATCTCAGCTTTGTATTGAGAATCTCCACTGAGCTGTTCAAAACAGCATCCAGGTACCTCCATTAAGCAGTAAGAAACAACAAAGGGTAGTTAAAATTTTTGTTCCTGGCTCTGATTTATCTGTATGTTGGTGAAGGTTGTAATAAGCTGGTGTAATAAACCTCTTCTGTAACATATCTGTGTCCTGCAGACCAACAGTGAAGTTCTAAAATTTGTTAGCGTCTTCTAGTTTCTGCTACTCTTACTTTATGTCTCCTATCTGTGTTGTGAATTTGAAAGTAGTTACGATCAGAAGGATTTGACCTTCTCAAGGAGAAACAGTAGAAATAATTAAGAGACCAAAGAAAGCATAATATGACTTTTTTATGGTGGGAGAAAGAGTGAGTAGTTGTGTACCTAACCTTTGAAATACTTTTAATTTCTTCCACTATTTAAAAAACATCTAAAATACCACAGAGCTGTATGAAGCTCCAGATACCCAGGCGGAAAGGGAAGAGGGAAGCAGTGTGAAACCCCTGTGTTTGAAGATGTGTGCCTGCTGAAGGCAGTGAATCAGCCAAAGCATATAATGATAGGTCCTATCTTCCACAAACTCAGCCTTGCCTCAGTCTTCTTAAAAATTATAGTACAAGGCCTCTTGGAATACATTTCTGGGCTCATGGGGAAAAAGACAGAGAGGAACAGCCAATATTGGATTTGACAATGGTCAGTAGTGCCCAACCTACTTGATTTCTTTCCATGACAAATGTGTAGATCTGTATAGGAGGAGACACTAGTGTAACCTTGACTTCAGCAATGTTTATGACTTGTCTCCCACCATACTCTTGTATCCAAAGTGGAACGTTATGGTTCCACATGGACAACTAGATGAGTAAAAAACTGGTTGGATGGTTGAACTCAGAAGCTAGAGGTTAATGGGTCAGACTTGAACTCTGCCTGGAGGCCGTAGTGGGAGAAGTGTTACAGGGGTGTAGGAGTGTGCCCCCTAATGACAAGAGTGGCAAAGCTAGCCTTTGTCCCCCAAAAAAAGGAAAGAAACCCAGAAGTTTCTCTCAACAATTAGGTGAAAAGCCACCTCATAGGACCTCAGGGACTTCACCAAAAACTTGAGGACATCTAATTGGATAGAAGCCAAAAAGTCCCGCCTGACCCATCAGGTAGAAAAGAAGAGAACAAAAGAGCTAAAGTGCTTTTGTGAGGTGTTTTTACCAGGAGCAGACCTCTGCACCTGGCTTGAGTTTTTCTGTTTGTAATTTTGCCTTTTATTAAACCTTTTTTGTTTCTAACACTGCAGCAGAAGTCATCCTGCTTATTTTATGCCCCCAAAGTAATAGCTGAGCTATCCTTGGGTGTATTATTTCTTTTGAGGGCTTATGAGACCTGGCCCAAGAAAAAGAAACATAATACAGGGGTCTCTCCTGCGCCCTGGGCATTGAGCATGTTTATCAAGATCATGAGAAGGTGACAGAGAGCAGTATGGTCAAGGGATGTCAAGCTCCCACATGACACCAAGCTGAGGGAGCAGCCATTACACTGCCATCTACAGGGACCTGAACAGACAGGAGAAATGAATCCTATCATAAAATCAAAGGGTTGGTTTGGGTTGGAAGGAACCTTAAAGATCATCTAACTCTTCTGCTATGTGGAGGGACACCTTTCATTAGGCCACTTTGCCTAACGTCCCATTCAGCCTGACCATGAGCACAACCAGGGCTGGGGCATCCCCAGCATCTCTGGTTGACGTTTTCCTGTGCCTCATTACCCACACAGAATATAATTTTTTCATAATATCCAATCTAAACCGACTCTCTTTCAGTTTGAAACCATTTCCTCCTTCTGCCAATCAATACACAACTTTATTTATTCTTAAAGTCCCTAGAGCTCTCTTGTAAGCTCCCCTCTGCTACTGGAAGTCTACATTTAGGTGCCTTCTCTTCTCCAGGCTGGACAATCACAATGCTCTCTGCCTTTCCTTATGGGAGACATGCTCCCTCCCTCTAATCATCTTGATGTTCCTCCTCTGGACTCCATGACCAACAGTTCTTCAGGTGGCCATGAACCTGATTTTTACTTAGAGCAGGAGAGACTTTGCTTCCACAGTCGCCATCCTGCTGTTTGTCCACTTGAGAGATGTGGGAAGAGGGGTTACCATTGAAAGAAGTTGTTGAGTAACTCAGCTTTCCTGTCAGTCATTGTTACCATCATTGTCTATCAGGGGACACACCTTCTTTGACCTCCAAATGAGCAGACAGGCAGCAGGGTAGCACTGCAGAAAAGGTCCTTGGTGTCTTGGTTGTCAGTGAGCCAGCTGTGCACACTGGCAACAACCAGGATCAACAGCATCCTGTGCTGTCCAGGAGCACAGCTAGTCAGCTGAGAGAAGGGATTATTACTGTCTCCCCAGCACTACAATATTAGACTATTGCATTCAGTTTTGACCTCCATAAAGGAAGAGCATGACAAACTGCTGGAACAAGTTCAGTGGAGAACCACGAGGGTGGTTAGGGGTTGGTGCACCACGAGGGTGGTTAGGGGTTGGTGCACTTACCCTGTGCAGAGAACACTGAGGGAGCAGGACTTACTCTGCCTGAAGAAGAGACAGTTACCAGGAGATCTCATAGCACCCCGGTAGTACTGACACTGAGGTTTTAATGAGGAAGGACCAAGGTTCTTTGCAGGAGTGCGTGCTGTGAGGACAGGAGACAAATGGCAGAACTTAAAACTAGGTGTTCAGGCTGGATTTGAGGAGAAACTTATTTATCCTAAAGGCAGTCAAGCAGAGGAGCAGGTTAAGTGAAGTTCCATTGACCTGTCCTGCCTTTTTTTCAACCTAGCCTGTCCTCTTTAAAATGTGTTTCTTTTGTATTGATGTAATAGTGCTTCCCCTCTTAAGCATCAGAGGCCCAAGATTTGGAAAGCTGAAGCTCATGTGAACAAGTCTTTCCTACAATCTGGGAAACTACCTTATAATCATATCAGAATTTGAATGTTTCAAAAGCCTGAGGAAGTAATCAATTAATCTTTTTACAAAAATGCATTAAATTAACAAATAATTACATACACTACTGAATCACTTATCCAGGCAGGTAATTACAAGGTTTCTTTGATAGAAGACTGGAGAATGGTAGTTTTTATAGTTTAGATACAAATGAGGTGTGAGATTTTGGCTATTTTTTAACAACTGACTCTCCAGATAAATACATATAAGCTGTAACAAAGCAGCAAGTGCTAAACATTTTGTGCTTTAACTTCTCATCTCTGAGCAATCTGTATAACCAGTCAAAACAACCAAAACCATCCAACACCTGTCTTCAGCAAAGTCTGCCAAAACATCTGTTGCCATCAGCCATGGAGTATGGCAGCAGTGGAAGGCTAGCCTTCCATCCTTTCCATTTCACGTGTGTAGCACACCTGCTGTCCTAGACAGTAGAAAAAAGTGAGATAAAGAATTATTACTGGTACTGTCATATTCACAAATGTGATAACTCATTAAAAGTGTTTTTTTCCCTCATCCAGGAGTTGTTGCTTGACAGCTGGTAAATGAAAGACAAAACAAACAGGATAAAACTACCACTTCTTAGGTATACCTTCATTTTTTTTTTTTAATAAAGAAGTGCCTCACAGATAAAAACAAAATTATTTGACCATCCGTTGTCTTTGTTTTGACAAGATTACTAACACAAGATTAGAAGAAAAATGTAAGGCCTCTGAAAAGAAAATTTACTTCTTTTTACGTCCTGATAAACATTTTGTGGCACTCTGGATTTTCTAACCTCATTAAACTCAAGTTATGCAACTCCTGGGCAAGCAGTACAGGAAAACAGTCATTTTTACAAGTTTCTTGGCTTGGTAGAGGTGTATTCAGTAAATGGAGCAAACTTTGCACTGGGATCTTCTGAACCTTTTGTAACCTTCTTGTACTCTTTATATCTAGGGAGCAAACGTACTGTGACAGATAGAAAGCCTTTGATACAACTGAGAAATGCAAGTTCTGGTACATCATCCAAATTTATGTACAAGATTAAGTAAGTTTGATGTGTGTCAATATCACATAATGTTTTTATCCTTTAAGGAACACAGTTCATTATACCAGTGCTCTCTTGACACTCAGTATGATGAAATTCAGTTACTCAATTCTTTCATGAAGAAATTTCTTTGTAAGTAAGCTTCAAAAAACCTGAAAATAAATTATCATGTCAGGTCCAGGTGAGATCCAGAGGATTTTATAAGACTGTATAAATATGCAAGTAGTGGCTGAAAAGCAAATGGAGCTGTGCTGATTTTTAGTGGTCTGTCCTGGCTTTCCCTTTCCTGTTTCTTAGAGACCTACGAATAATTTCATCCATCCACTCACATGACAGGAGTGGGAGTCATTAGCTTCCCAAATGCTGGAAAATCTTGCTAAATTTCTGTTTCTATAAAATGTGTTCTTTACATGTTGGTGAATTGTGGAAGTGTGAAATCCAATGGTCCCTATCCCATAGAGCCATAAGTAAAAGCGTTTCTAGATTACTGAAATCTTCTATATTGTTGACTTGTCTTTTCTGAATTCCCTTCATCACTGCAAGTAATTGGAAGAGAGGAATGACACAAACCATATGTGGAGGTTGAAAAGGAACGTTTAAAATAAATTGTGGCTTCTGAGAGCCAAGAATTTAAGGCTTTGAATGTGCCCTCCTGTTGGCAACCAGCAGGGAAGAAGAGCTACAGGGGAGTTGGTTTCATTTGGTTTAAACCAGCACATCAATATTTGGAAATTGAGGGATAATGCTCCTTTGGCTCATGAAAGGAAGTGGCTCATGAAGTATCACCTTCCTAAGCAGAGAGGTTTCAGATTTGCAGTTTTTTCACCTCTCCAAGTTGGTGATATCTGAATCAAAAGTAAATCCTGATGTTCATTTAAAGAGGATACCTTTGTTTTTTCCCACATCTCACAGCTGAAGAGACAATAAAAGTATTAGATCCTGTGTATGCAGTCTTTGTCTTGCAATGGAAAACAAAAGAGAAATTCAATTTCTTATACCTACACTACACACACCAAAAAAAAAAAAAAAAAAAAAAAAAAAGCGGCTAAGCACCTAGCACATAATTAGGTTTTTTTTTTTTGTTTGTTTGTTTGTTTGTTTTTGCTTCATAATAGCTCTACAGTTACTTCTTTCCTGAAAAAAAGTCTTTAAAAACCTGTTCTAATCACACTAGAAATAAATCAAGTGCTGACTTGTTAGTTAAAAGCATCAACAGCCCCTGAGTAAGAGAAGCAAAAGCCCTGTTATGGAAAGCCAACAAAGTTCTGAATCAGTTCCAAGTTATGCAGTAAGATATGGTATGTCTTTCAACTTTTTTGAAACAATTTGATTGCCAGATTAACTATACCTTTTCAAATTAAGGTTATAATAAGGAATACATTACATTGCATAATCTAAACAAAATTACATATTAATGTTTATATATCAAATATATGCACACTTTTCATGTAGGTACAGAGACTTAGAAGAAAATCTTTCAGTTCAAATTCATCCATCTCTTGTGGGGAAAAAAAAACAAACACCCTGTGGAGATCACATCAAGTAAAACATCTTTATTTCACCAAAATCATTATAGTCAGCAGTAATAAGTATTTAATGAGAATGTAGATACATTTATCACAAGTAGACATAACTGCAGAACTCGTATTTTATTTTAGCATTTACACTCCTTACTGTCTCAGGAGTTTCCCTAGTTCTGCTAACAGAACTGAGACTTAGTAAATAATAAACCGTATCAGAGCTGAAAGTAAAGAAAACTGTGTAACAACATAGCAAAGTCAAAAGGTTGAAATTTAAGACCCAGCCAGCTAGTAAATATGATGATATGACAGGCAAGTTATTTGTTGTTCAAATACACTACGCTGATTTTAATATTTAATAGCTTATTTCCAGCTCTTAAGTTTTAGAACAAATAACTTCCTGACAGAATACATAAAGGATTTGCTCAGAGTTAATGAATCACTTCTCTGGGAGAAAAACAACAACCAATCAACGAAAAAAAACAGCTAGAGTTTGATTTATTTTTTTATTGTAAAGGACTGCCAGTTTAACTGCTTTAGTCATGTTTTGTCTCTGGACCAAGGGAACATGGAAGCAAGTCTCATGAACTGAGTACCTTAATGCATTCTGAAATGTAGAATATGCAGAACACCCACATGTGGAAAAAGATTGCTGTTAAGGTTTAGTAAGAATTGTGCACTCTGAAAATAAAATGTCCAAGTCTTGTTAAAAACCACATTTCAATTTCTGATTCTGCACTCTAATAATGTATCGGAAACCCAGTATATAAAACACCCATTTTTAATGTATGTGTATATGTGTAAATATACTGCTTTATTTATTTCTATGCCTGACAGTACCTGTTGGCCTTCAGGATAGATCTACTCCCTCACCAGCAAGAATGTAAAGAAATACCATGTATTGTTAGACTCCAAAGTGATGTGCTCACGCATGAGATTGTCCTTTGGCTGTGTTACTGGTGCCCACATGGATGACAGGAGGTTGTGGTCTGAGAGCTTGACAAAAGCACCCCAGATCAAAGGCCATGACAAGCAGCAAACCTTCTGAGATGGAGAGGTCAGCAAAAGTAAAGTCTCCAGCCACCATGACTTGCTGTGTCCTTGTGAGGGGCTCAGATGTCTTTCGCAACCAAGTTTCTGTTCATTTGTTTTCAGAGTATTGCACCTGAGTGCCTTCAGTTCATAACTACATGACCAAAAGAAGTCATTCTCCT